GCGCATTGTGGGTGTCTGAACACCAGCGTGCCAGGGGACCGTGTGGGTGGCTGCCACCCCCTCCTCCCCCCCCAGGAAGGGGCCACATTGTTCCCACATTGCAGATGAGTATGTGGTGGCCGCAGAGGGCGTGGTAAGTGGTGAAACAGCCCTGTTGCCTGGAAGGCTCAGCCCTTGGCCCTGTCCCACCGCCCACTCCTTAGGGTTTTAACAGATGGGCCCTGTCCTCTTACCCATGTGTGGACACCTCTCTCCTGGCCCGCAGTCTGCATGGGTCACGGACCTCCCCACCCCACCCTCTCAGAGAGGCCAGCCTGGACCTCACCCACTGCAGCTGACCCTTCGCCATCCCCCAGGGACGGTCTCCCCACTAGACTGAGCTCCCTGAGGGCAGCCTGGGCCTGCGAGGCTGGGTGATTCCACAGGTCACCCCCAACTTCCCTCCCTCTGCCCCCCCCCTCCCGCTGTGGCCTGGGTGGCTGAGCCACTGGCGGTCAGCATGGCCACACCACTTTGGTGGCCCGGACAGGCCTCCGGCCTCGGTTCTCCCCCGAGACAGGGGGGGTCAGGCTGGAGCCGGCCCACACAGCTCTGGGGCACACAGTCGCCCCTGCCCTGAGCCACGGGGCCTGTCCCAGGCCTTGCTCACCGCTGTCTCTGTGTCCCCAGGATCTGCGGCACCTCGTCTCTGACAGCTGAGGAGGTGATGGGTGGCAGGGAGAGGACCCCTTAACCCCGGGCAGGGGTTGCCACCACGTGTGCTGGGTCAGTGGGTGTCTGGTTGCTGGTGACTGGCCGGGCTTGGGTGGCTTGTGGGGTGCGGGGACCCAGGGCTCAGAACCACGTGCTGTGTCCTGGGTGGGAGAGCCCAGGGTCTGAGGACAGCTGAGGGGGGCGAGGTTCCCGGTGTGAAAGAGCCGCTGGAGGCTGGGGCGGGAGCCAGGTGCACGAGCTGACGGCCGAGGCAGGTGACAGGTCCCCGAGGCAGGTAACAGGCTCGCTGTCCATCTCGGGGGGCCAGTGAGGCAGGTAACTGCTCCCCCAGCTTGTCCATCTCACATCCTCTCATCCGGCCTCAAAAAACAAACTTTGCTGCCGCATCCGAAAACGGATTGTGGTTTGGGCCCCGTGTTTCCCAGAGCTGAACAAGGCTGACTCGACTGCCTGGGTTCCGGGTCCGTCCCCCGGGAAGGCCTGGCCCCTCCCCTGCACTCCCTCCGGCCACGTTCGGTGCACTGATGGGACGCTGGGCGCTCCCGCACCTGCAGGATGGCCGGGCAGGAACCTCACTCTGCTGGTCCCACGCTGGGCCCAGGGCACCGTGGCTCCCGGAGGCGAGGGCGTTGATGCCTGTCCCCCCAGGGTGCCCGGCACGTGAGGCCCCACCCAGCCGACTTGGCTCACAGATCAGCCTCTGAATTAGGCGAGTGTGTTTGGCAATTGGCTGCTTAATTGTGTGATTAGAACGAGTTGAGTGAGTTGTTTGCCCTGAGTCACAGTGAGAGAGCTCAGAGCGGCCTCGCTAACTCGGTCACATGCCGGGACGGGCTGGGCTCGGTGTCTCCGGAATGTTCTCACTGTTCCCATCAGATCTGGGAGCAGCCACGTCTCCACCGCAGGAGACGAGTTCAGAGCAGGGTGTCCGTCCGGAACGGAGTTCTGTGGTTCCGTTCGTGGGACCCTCGATGGGCTTTGCAGGCTCGCCGCGTCACGAAGGCGTCTCGGCCGTACCCACCCCACGCTTCCAGCTTCCAGGACGTGGGGCGTCGCGGGGGCCACGCCGGCTCCTGCCTGTGGTGGCGCTTTCAAACCTTGGCAATAAGAAGAGCCTGTGATGACCTATTTATAAAGTATTCCAGAAGCACATGGATGTTGTCCTAAATTCTGTAATTAGAGGAGATGAGACCGATTCCGGGATTATTTTTGTGCACAACATAACCTAATCAGAGCTCTCTGCTTGTACGGTTTTTGTTTTTAATGTTTTTATTGTTTTTTAGGTAGAGAAGAAGGGAGAGGAAAAGGGAGAGAGAAACATCAGTGATGAGAGAGAATCAGATCGGCTGCCTCCTGCACGCGCCCCACTGGAGATCGAGCCCACAACCCGGGCGTGTGCCCTGACTGGGAATCGAACTGGTGACCTCTTGGTTCCCGGGTCGATGCTCAACCACTGAGCCACGCCGGCCAGACTCTCCTTGCACGTTTTTTAAAAAGAAACCGTTTTAGCCCTGACCGGTTTGGCTCAGTGGATAGAGCGTCAGCCTGTGGACTGAAGGGGTCCAGGTGCGATTCCGGTCAAGGGCATGTACCTTGGTTGCCGGCACATCCCCAGTAGGGGGTGTGCAGGAGGCAGCTGATCGATGTTTCTCTCTCACTGATGTTTCTAATTCTCTATCCCTCTCTCTTCCTCTCTGTAAAAAAATCAATAAAGTATATTAAAAAAAGAAAAAAGAAACCGTTTTAACAAAAAGATGAAAGGAGTTGACTTGCCTGCAGTGTTCTCAAACGCCTGGCGGGGATGTGTCCGCACCACATGGGACCTTGCTGACCACGTGACCTGCTGACCTTTCTTGGATTCTTCCCGGGAGGCCATGGGCACCCCCGCCCAGCTCTTTCTCCCTCGACCCGGGGCTCAGCCGGAAGCTGGCCTGGGGGCAGGTGGCCTGGGTCTTGAGGTGAGGCACGCACAGGGATGCCTCCGGCGGGGAGGATGGCTCGTTGCTCTGTCCACTTCGCACATGTTCTGCGAGCACCTGTTAGCCGTGGCCCGCCGCCCCGCAGGGCAGATGTGGCGAGCGGGTGTGGTGCCAGCGTTGCCGTAAGTGGCTGAGTTGCCACAGCAGCAGTAGTGGGTTGGGGGGACTTTAAGGGAGGGGAATTGTGGGCCGAATCTTTTTCTTTTTCTTAAATCCTCACCCGAGGTTATGTTTAGAGAGAGAAACATCCACCAGTTGCCTCCCGTACTCGCCCTGAGTGGGGATCGAACCCCAGCCTTTCCGTGTATGGGGCGCCGCTCCAACCAACTGACCCTCCAGCCGGGGCCTGAGTCTTTTTCTTTTTTAAAAATATGTTTTTATTGATTTCAGAGAGGAAGGGAGAGGGAGAGAGAGAGAAACATCACTGGTGAGAGAGAATCACGGATCGGCTGCCTTCCGTGCGACCCACACTGGGGATGGAGCCCACAACCCGGGCACGTGCCCTGACCGGGAATCGAACCGTGACCTCCTGGTTCATAGGTTGACGCTCAACCATGAGCCAAGCTGATAGGCCTTTTTCTTTCTCTTCATTGTTTGGACCTCAGGGCTTTGAGCTGGCTTAGTCTCGCATGTGCCACCGCTGGTCCCAGACCCTGTGGTCTGTGCTGAGTGATTTTTAATGAACAGCCCCCTGAGCTCCCACCTCCCGCTCCCTGTGGCGTGGCCTGGCCCCGTGTCTCCTCCTGCGCGCCGTTCTCCAGCCCACACCGCACTGTGGTGCTGCCATGGCGTCATGCATCTGCTCGCGGGGGCGGGTCCCCTCCCTGACCCCTCCGTGGGATTGGATCTTGAAGGACTGGTCGAAGTGGGCAGGGTCGGGGGCCAGAGATGATCAGGAACATTCTAGGCCAGGGCAGGTCGGAACGCTGACAGGCCAGGGACCAGGTGTGTCCTGGGATGGGAGGGTGTTCCGGAGAGACCAGGAGTGGCCAAGGAGCGCTGGGCAGAGGCTCCCGTGGGTGCTGAGGAAATGGGGGGGGGGCTGGGGGGGCCTCAGGTCTTTCCAGAAGTTTCAGGTGTGGAAATGGCCCTGGCGGGGAGATGCTGGGACGAGGTCGGTGCTGGAGGTGGGGGCTGGGGCCGACCTGGCCCTGAGTGAGGGCCTCTCCCAGGGACTGGAGGGGGAGGTGTGAGGGGCGGCCTGGAGCGTCCGGGAGGCTGGGAGTGGCCGTGTGAGGCAAAGCAGCGAGGGCAGCAGGCTCCATGCCCTTCCGCGCGGGGCCCCCAGACCAGGCCCAGACAGAGGTGCCCTTCGGCCCAGAGCTGAGGCACTTGCAGGGCACCTGGAGGGGAGGCGGCGGCAGGTGCCCAGGGAGCGTATTGGGAAACCAGCCGGAGGCGGAGCGCGCGCCCACGGGGAGCCGGGCTCGGGTTTCCAGGGTGACCTGGGAGGTGATGTGGGAGGCTGGCCGTGGGGACAGGTTTTTCATGTGGCCGCCTGGAGGGGTGTCCTGGGCGCGGATCGGCTCTGCTGCCCCCTCCAGGCGGGATGGGGAACCTCCCTCCGCAGCCTGCCAACCTGC